GACGGACGCACCAGCGCCGCCATGGCCAGCGAGGGGGAGTCCGGCCCCCAGCGCCGCCGCTGCTGCACGCAGGAGGCCCCCGGTGAGCTGGGGGGGGTCCCCACCTTCCCGACAGTTATACCGGGCATTGGGGGGGTCCCCCCCATCCTGAGTACCGGTGGGTTCCTCCTCCTGAGCATCACATTGGGCACGAGGGGGGATTCCATGTAACACCCCACCGCCCCCGTCCCTTCCCCATCCTGGGTGCTGGTGGGTTCCCTCCTCTGGAGCATCGCACTGGGGGGGGTTCTTCCCCCTGCCAGCACTGCACCGGGCACTGGGGTGACCCCCCTACCCAATCCCAGGTGCTGGTGGGGTCCCCCCCTCCCAAGCATCACCTGTGTCCCCCCTGTGGGGTTTGGGGACCAAGGTGACACCCCAGCACATCAGCCCCTGGGTGTCCTGTGGTGCTGAGCCCAGGCAGGACATGGCCCCAGTGTGACTCCACCCCCCCACTCCCTACAGATGTCCCCAAGGCCACCGAGCCCCAGGGTGACAGCGACAGCCGGGGCTCCCTCTGTGACCGGCACTGCGCTGCCATCAACAACGTGCAGGGTGACCTGGGTGACCTGGGCTGTCACCTGCACCGTCCCCGTGTGCCCCCAGGTAAGGCCAACCACGGGGTGGGCTGGGACCAGTGTGCTGGGGGGGGTCCTACACCCTCGTCACCCTCCGTCTTGCCCGCAGCTGTGTCCCCCCTGTCCTGCTGCCAGCAGCACTCGGAGGAGGTTTGCGAGAGCTGCGTGGTGAAAACCACCCTGACGGCTGAAAACGCCGTGGAGGCCAACAAGCTCTCCAACAACTATAAGGTGGGTGGCAGTGGCAGGGGTGGGGGCACTCACAGGTGCTCCTGGATGGCTGTAAGATGTTTTCTTTTTCTCCTCTCCACCCCCTGAAAAAAAAAAAAATAAAATCTCTGCAGTTTGGCTTCAAGAAATGGAAGAGCCACGTGACGGCGCGGCCCTGGGAGGACCGATCGGAGATCGTCAAGGAGCTCTACTCCGACCTCAATGTCATCCGTGGCTCTGGAGGTGGGTGGCCTTGGGGACAACCCTGTGCGACGACAGTGTGGATTTGGGCCGTTGCAGGTGACAAGGGTCCCATCCGGTGCCTCCCCTCCCGCAGGGTCCACGGTGACGTGTGGGAACATCCTCTACCTGCTGCTCTTCGGCTGGTGGCTCTCGCTCCTCTACGTCCTCGTGGCTGCTGTGATGTTTGTCACTGTTGTGGGGGCTCCTTATGGTGAGTCTTGGATTTGGGATCCCCAGGAAGGGCTGGGTGAGCCCAAAATGGCTCCGATGGGTGCTGGGGTGTCCTGGGTCTCTGCAGGGTGGCCCTGGAGGGGACATATATGTCCCTAACAGAGGTGATGCTCGTGTCCCCGCAGGGTGGCTCTGCTGGGACCTGGCCGGGTATTTCCTCTGGCCCTTCGGCAAAGTGATCCAGAAGGTGGAGGTAACGGCATGCTCCGAACTGGGACCCCGCTGGGGGATACACTGGGGTGTCCCATGCTGCACCCTGACACCCCTCCATCTCCTCCAGGTCTCCAAGTCGAGCCGGGTGCTGGGTGCGTGCGAAGCCGGCGCGGGGGAGAGCTCAGCCCTGCTCGGGGGCCCCGTGCCGCGGCGCTGGCGCCCGTGGTGCTGGGTGGACACCGGACACTGGGTGAGCCCCATCTTGGACACGGTGACACCCTTTTCCCAGGTGTTGGCACCCCAGGAGCCCCCCGTTATGGTGGGGATGGCACCTGTGGGTGCCTCCGCTCCCCTGGGGTGGGTGCTTTGGGCTGGGCAAGTCCTGAAGGTGTCTGTCCATTCGCAGCAGCGTGCCGGTGCCGTGGCATGGCTGTGCCTGGGCTACCCGGTGCTGGTGCTGGCCCATGGGCTGGTGTGTGTTGCCGCGTGGCTCCTCATCTTCCTCATCCCTGTGGCCAAGCTGAGTGCCCGCGCAGCCGCCCGTGTCCTGCTGCTGCCCCCGGAGCAGGTGCTCGTCCGGCGTCTGAGGATGGTGGGTGCCTCTGTGAGGGGGAGGGGGAAGGTCCTGCACCCTGCTCCAGGGTGGATTTTGGGGCGCACGGAGCGAGGTCACCCACTTATCCCTCTGCAGACGGAGGTGCCGCTGGAGGGGGAGGTGATTCTCTGCTGCTACCGCGCTGTCAACCCCTACTACTACAAATACGCTGTGGATGGGATCAACGTCTTCGCAGTCAGTATCCTTCTGAGGGATGGGGTGCACCCTCAGTCAGTTTGCAGAGGACACCCGGTTGGGTGGGAGTGTTGATCTGCTCAAGGGTAAGGAGGCTGCAGAGAGACCTGGCCAGGCTGGAGCCATGGGCTGAGCCCAACTGGGGGAGTTTCACTGGGGGCAAATGCCGGGGGCTGCCCTTGGGCTACAACAACCCCCAGCAGGGCTACAGGCCTGGGGAGGAGTGGCTGGAGAGCTGCCGGTCAGAGAGGGACTGGGGGGGTGAGAATGAACCAGAGTGTGCCCAGGGGGCCAAGGAGGGCAACGGCATCCTGGCTGGTGTCAGCACTGGCGTGGCCAGCAGGGACAGGGGAGGGATCTGAGCCCTGGGCTCGGGGAATGGGCTGCCAGGGCAGGGGGGAGTCCCCGGGATCCCTGGAGGGGTTGAAGAGTCGGGCTGAGCCAGCGCTGAGGGGTCAGGGGGAGGGTCATGGTGGGGCTGGAGGAGCCTCAAGGGCTTTTCCAACCCAGATAATTCTGTGAAAAAAATGACAGGCGTTCTCTCTCTGCAGATGGACAACAACGGCACTCTCTACTACAGTCATGTCCAGTGAGTGTCCACTGGGGTGGGGACAGGGTTGTCCCCACATTGGGGTGGCACCTCCTGGGCTCAGTCATGGTCCTGTATCCCTCCCAAATGCCCTCTCTTCCCCCGATTGAAGGGCTCCAATCCAGCCCCCCAACTCCTCCGTCTCCAGGGGATTCCCCCCCGGGGTGCCCATGCTGGACACGGCACTGAGCACGTGTCACCTGTGTCCCACAGACCCCTGGTGTACACAGTGTCCCTCCTGCTCCCCGCCGCCTACCTCATCGGCCTCTTCTTCACCCTGAAAACTCACTCGCACATCTACGACATCCACATCAGCGACTGTCACAGTGAGTGTCCCCCTGACTGTGGGATGCTCCGCTTGTGGGGCTGGTTCTTCTCACCGCCATGGGGTGTTCCACCATGTTCTTGCTCTTCCCCCTCTCCTCCAGTGCCTGGCCATCACCACAGCGCTGTGGTCCACTGGTCTCGCTGGCGAGCCCTGGTCATCCTCCTGCTCTCCACCCTCTGCATGTCCGCCTGTGCCGACCTGGCCACGGAGCACATCAGCCCCATCCTCACCAACTCCACCATCTCGCAGGTGAGCATGGGGATGGTGGTGGGTCAGGTTTGGGTGGCCCTGGGGACACAGATGTGCCCTCTGAGGATGGGAACCTGCCCTGGCTGCAGGGATGAGCCCCCAAAGCTGGAGGAGAGGTGCTGAGATCCTCCATGCACCGAGGAGCTGTGGCTGTCCAGGGGTTGGATGTAGTCAGGATCGGGCCATATGCATGTCACCTCTTCCTTGCAGTACTTCATTGGTGTCACCGTGCTGGCAATGGTGCCTGAGCTGCCAGAGATTGTCAATGGCATCCAGTTCGCTCTGCAGAACAACCTGAGCTTGAGGTGAGATGGCTCAAAGGGTGCTTTTTGGGGTGGCCTCCTCCAGCATGGTCCCTATGCCCTGTCCTAGCCCACAGCTGTGCCTTGGTGCCAGCAACGGGCCACCCCTCCCCACAGTGTCAGTGGGTCACAGAATCATCTAGGTTGGAAAACACCTTGAAGATCATCCAGTTGAACCATAGGGTCACTGATTTGCTCTCAAAGAGGATTTAAATCCACCCCAAAAATGGGGCCAGATCCAGGTTCTGCTCCATAACTTGGCTCCCCAAGGTGGGACAAGGGCTGCTGGAGACTTGGCTGGGGGCAGCTCTGAACTTGTGTGTCCTCCCCAGCATCGAGATCGGGAACTGCATCGCTGTCCAGGTCTGCATGCTCCAGATCCCCATCCTGGTGCTCTTCACCATCTTCTATGTGAGTAACCCCAGGACAGAACCCTGGGTGACCTCCCACAGCGGAGTTGGGGACACATGAGACCCCTCAAGGCCACAGCCACTGACCCCGGTGTCTCCTCTCCTCTGCTCAGCGCAGGGGAAGGTGGGGTCAGATGTCCCCTACTGTGGCTGATGCTGTCCCCAGCCCTAGGGACATGTGGCAGAGGGAGTTTAAGGGGTGACATGCGTGTCCCCAACCACAGTCAGTGTGGGGTTGTCCCGGTTGGCCATAAACCCAAATCCTCTCTGCCTCGCAGCCCACCAACTTCACACTTGTCTTCAGCGACCTCCACGTCTATGCCAGCATGTTCAGCGTGGTGCTCATGAACTACATCTTCATGGATGGCAAATGTGACTATTTCCAAGGTGACTGCTCACCCGGGAGGCTGCTGTGGGACTTGAGGTTCCCCTCTTTCTTGTGCTGATGAGATGGGGGGGCTCCTGGAGACAGCCCTGGGGTCATCTGCTTGCTGCAGCTCTTGGCATGTGGCTTGAGCAATTTGAGGGGGGCTTGGCTGAGCATCTTGGGAGGTGCTGGAGCTGCCACCCTGTAGCAGCTCAGAGGGGTATCGCTCCCTTTTCACCCTTAAGAGGGAATTTTAAACTCATTTTGACTCAGATTTTGCAGAGAACCATGAGTGTCCTTTACAGAGGGCTAGTCCAGACCACACTAAGTCTTAAAAGCAACTCCCCTCCTTGCTCCTCCCTCCAACCTGCTGTGTCTTCCCTAGGCACGGTGCTGGTGATGGTTTACTTCATCCTCCTGGCTGTGTATTTCTTCGCCCCATCGCCCAGTGGTTGCTGAGGTTTGGACTCTTTCTCCAACCCTCTCGTTGGGTTTGGTGCCTGTCACAGCATTATCCAGTGTCTCAGGGACTCGGCCGGGCTTGCTCCGGGCTGGAAGCGTCGTTTGCTGAAGCTGCTGCTGCTGCCTGGCTCTCCCAGTGGGAGAAGCCAACGGGGCTTCAGGGATGGGAAAGGTGGTGGCAACCAAAGCACTCCTGAACCAAGAAGGAGCCTCAGCACCTGAGCACTTCACAGAGGTTTTTCCAGCCTGCACATGTGTGGCTGGGAGGAGAACTGTCCCTAGTTTTGGAGGGTCTTGAAGGGAGTTTCTGTCTGGTCTCAAGGACAGACCCCTCCCCTGGGATGTGTTGCACTGGGAGAAGGTGCCTGAGAAGAACCTCTCTCCCTTCGGGGCAGTGGGTGATCCTGAGCCTGGAAGGGACTTGGCTCTGGGGATCATACAAGGCTTCTTGATGGTACTAGAAATGCACTAAAAGGTTATTTTTCAGCTGTTTTGTCATTAAAGCAGTTTTGTATGAATCAGGAACAAACTTGTTTCTCCTTAAACAAGCCTTTGGTCACCTGTCCAGGCTCCTCTGTGTCCGCCACCCAGGTTAGTGATGGTCTTGGGGTGATGGCCACTGGCCAAGGTGTGGTTGGGTGTTGGGTGCCAGTGAGGGCTCGGTTGGAGCCAGCAGTCCTGGGAGCAGAGCAGGACAGTGCTCCCTGTCCTCTGTCCCAGCACGAGAGGAGGTGGCAGGGGAGAGATCTGTCACCAGGCCACAGGGACAGAGCCAGCAGTGGGGTGGCTGTGAGCTCTAGCCTTCTCTGTGACCCTCCCTAAGCTCCAGCTCTTGTTTCCAACCTGGTCTTGTCTGACTGTCCTGGGTCATCCTTGTTCAGATCTTTAAGAGGCTCCTAAGAAGGGGTGGGGATGCTCCCGGTGCTGCTCACAGGGTACAAGGTGTGACCAGTCGGGGACCTGCTCATATTCCTCTGCGAAGGGAAACACCAGTGGGTGAGATGAGAGGACAAAGCAGATGGCTTGGACTGATTTATTATCAGAGCTTTAAAAAAAAACAGAACAAGAAAACCCCAAACCAACCCAAAAGCAAAACATTTAACATACATAGATACAGGCAATGCAGCTCCTCTGTCCCATCTCACTCCCCAGCCCCACAGGGACATACTTCAGTATAAAAACCAGGGTGGAGAGCACTGCTCACTGCCTGCAACATGAATGTTGGACTCTGAAAGGTCCCACAGTCAACAGAAACAGGACTAGACTTGAAAAAGCCTCGAGTAAGGCAGGCAGAGAGTAGCAGCCTGGGATCCTCCTCCTTCCCAAAGGAGGGCAGCTGCTCGTTAGCAATTAATGATGCTGCTTTATCAAGCTTCTTTTGTTTTTCTAGTATAGCATCAGTATGGGCAATGCTACTATTAATACAGATGTTTGGGAAAATTTGTGAGTACCTGGAATCGGCTGATGGTTGCAGACAGGCTCGATGGCACAGGGCAGTAAAAGCTGGAAAAGGTGTGGGGTGGGAGGGCAGAAGATGATGGCACCGAGCAGGTTCTCCTACATCTCACCTGAGGCTAAAGAGAAAACAGCTACCCTGGGGTGAGGGATACTTGAGGCTTCTGGAGCCAGATCCAGCCTTTGTGTTGGGGAAAGCAGGGTAGGGCCAGTGCTGTGGGTCCCTCCCCCAGCACCCTGCTCTGAGCAGGACAAGCCCAGCAGTAGCTGTTGGTGGCTACAAGGGTGCCCTGAAAGTGTCCCACGTTGTCCTGAGCTGCTCTGCTTGGTGCTGGGAGCAGGGGGTGTCCCCATAAAAGCCTGTTCTGAGCTGGCTTTCTCTGTCTTGGTGTGTCCCAGGCAGCATTGCAGGTGTTCTCCCTCCATCAGTTGCTGCAGATGCTGAATCCTTTCCCTCTCCCTTGGGGAAACCATGGCTCAGACCTGGCAGAGGCAGGAACACTATACTCTTGCTTTCATGTATGGAATTTCACAGAGGGAGTTTAACTTGCCTTTAAAAGGGAGGAACCAGTACTTGGGCATCACCTGGGCTGTAGGTGAAGACAAGCCCATGGAGCAAGAAAAGCCCGGAGCCATATATCCTTCAAGTTCTGCTCCAGAGCGAAGCCTCTGCCACTGTGAGCCAGCGAGAAGCTTTTATCACTCAAAAACTCAACATGCAGCAGAGCAGCAGCAACTCCAGTAAACTCTCAGAAGAGCTGTCAGCTCTGCAGTGCTTAAAACAAGTAATTTCTTAGGAAGAGCAGCCTCTGAGATTTTGTGCCCATCATGAAGCAGCCACCCCAGGTAAGTGGGAGGGGAGAGGTCCCTGGACTCCTGTCAGTGGATGATGTTTATATGTTTTTATCAACAAAAACAAGTCCCTGGCCCTTTATTCTGTGGGCAGAGGGTGCAGGCAGGCTCTGGGATGGCACAGGCAGTGGTCCAGCCTGTGGAAGAGGTTTGGGCACTTGTGTTTGGGTGACCCAGCACTGCGGAGGGATGTCAAGGGCTGTATTGTCCTGCCTGGGTGGCTGTCCGTGTTCCATGGCAAGATCTGAAGTGAAGTGACAGTGTTAGAGGTGTCAGTATGGAGCTGGGCTGAAGCCAGATGTTTCCCTGACCAACACCCACCACTTTGCCTCTTCACTGTGTTCACATCGAGGGGGAAAGCTCGGGGCTGCCACTGTCAGGCTGCTGAAGTGAGAAAGACATTAGAGCTTAAGGAATTTGATCAGAGATCCAGGCTTGGATGGCTGTAATGTTGCCTTGGTGATGATGGGAGGTGCTCTTTAAAGTAGAGGAGGGAAGAACCAGGGCAAAGATTAAGTTCAGACCTTCAGCCTCTGCAAGAAGAGGTGAAAGCCACTGAGTTCAGGCTAGAAGAAGGAGCTGGAGAAAAGCCCAGCTCCCCTTGATGCCCCATGCCATGGTCCTGCAGCTGAGGACAACACAAGCCAGGGGCTAGAGAGCAGGTCTGGGCTCAGCTCCGGAGCCAGGAGCAGTGGGCTGCTGCAGCAAGCAGCAAGGAATGCTTCAGCTAGGATGCCCAACCTTGATTTTGCTGGGCTTTGGAGAAAAGCAGCAACTGAGGCTACAGAAGGGGGAAAATCTATCCCCAGGAACAGGGGAAGCTTAACATGGGGGGAAGCGTTAACACTTCAACTGAGTATCAGGGGTAGGTGCTCCCTAAAAGGTGGAACAGTGGCTCAATCAGCCAGTGCTGTTCAGATTAACAAGACAATGCTCTGGTTTATTTAAACAGAAATGCAATCTCTTAAAAAGAAACTAAAACTCCACTTTAACCCTTGCCTTTGAAAGGGGAAGGTACCAGGAAAACCTGATTAAAAAAAAATAAGACACTTAAAAATGGTCTTCAAAGGAAAGATTTTGCACGATTTTGAGTGGAGCTGCTCAGAGTTCAATGGTCACTTACACACGGGCTCTAGAGTGAATTTCACAGTATATGAAGTAAAGCAAGACAAGAATTAGACAGACATCCCCTCCTCTCCTGCCTCTGCAGAGGTGACCACTGCTCCCAGCAAGAGGAGGGGTATTTTGGATGCTGTTTCCTGGGACAAGTGCTCCATGAGTTTCCAAGGATCTATGTTAAAACCACATGCAGCAATCACATCCTCCACCCCTGGAGGAACATGAAGCTAACTAGAAAAGGAAAACAAAAAAGCTTACACGTACATGTTAGTCAGGTGCTGATAACCAGGCCCTGAGCTGGCAGGGGTGGCTCACACCAAAGCGCTGGGTACGACATGCTGCAGCCAGCTCTGAAATCTGTGGGGTGAGCTTTCACTGTTAGCTTGTTCAGAGTGCAAAATGAGCAGAAAAGGTTAAAAAAAGATTCGTCAAAACCTCTTCCCCTCCCCTCACCACCCTGAGTAAGCTACACAGTAGTCCATTATTGGTAATTTTTAACAAGTCTTCCAAGCAAACCTTTCAATGTGAAAAGGTGAGGAACACAGACACTGAGTGTTTCAAATCACTGCACGCTGCACCCAAAAAGCTGCACAGGCAAAGCTTCACCTGCTGCCCCGTGCGACGTTCCAGCTGTCTTCTGAAGCTCAAAGAGATGGGAACATGCCCATGGAATGCATGCAAAGCCTTCAAGCAGAAGGAGTTCTTGGTTTTATAGAGGGAGAGCTCAGCTGGGTGTTAAGGGGATGAGTGTTAAGGGGCTACAAAGCGAGAGAACAGGTCGGCTGTTCTGCACTGAACACCCTCCCTTAGATACATCTTGTGAAAATATCAAGTTGAACGTGCCCAGGGTAAGCACAGGCTCAGACATCTGCAAAGCTGCCCCCTGTCCCCAGTTAAATCATAAGCATGTGCTGATGACAGTTTGATGGCTGATGCTATGGATTAGTCCCAGAGAGTACTTTTGATTCACGGTGTAATTTAAAGATTCATAAATTAAAAGTGGATTTTCAACAACTTAAAAGTAAAAATTTCTAGAAAGGCATCGATGTATTTGCCGAGTAAGGCGTTGAGCAGGTTCCTCCACGTTCTTAGCAAGAGCATCCACAGTATCCATAAATAGGGGGCTTCTTGAACGTAATGTGTGTTGGACAGAAGCACGAGATGTTCTCATTTTAGTCGCTCAACGAGTCCCTGCGTCAGTCCAAGGTGCAAAAGCTGAGCTCTGGAGAGAGTTGCTAGATGAGGGAAATACTCCAGGAGCTTCTCCCATGACAGTTCCAGCAGGCTGGGCACCACCAGCCACATTTTAAACAGAGAGCCAGTCCGTTTGTCTTCATGGATGTTGACCACCCCTCCATGAACATACATGCAGCCAGCCTTGATGGGAAAAGGAGAAGGGAGTTACATGGGGCACAGACCAAACTGGTGCACCAGAAGGTGCTGAGGAAAACCAGGATTTGACTCTCCAGCTTCCCAGTGGGTTAATCACAGAGTGAGATGCATCTCACACGCTTTTACATGCTGGTGACAGAAGTGGCATTGCCCAAACCAGTCACCTCAGGCTCCTCTTGTAGCCAAGGGGAGGAATCACTGCTGAAGGCCACGTGTCTCTCATCCTAAAGTACCTATCTGCTAGCTTAGAGTGGTTTGCTCTGCATTTAAGGTGAATTTTAGCCTGAGATTATCAATTTTAGGAGTGGGGTTAAGTGTTACTAAATTAGTCCAGGACCATACTTATGTTTCAGCTAAAAAGTATGTATTTTTTAAACTAAACCCACACCATATACAGACATACTGCATTCCCTCTGGCTCAGCATAACCCTGATGGGAACAGAGAGATGGAGAAAGCTCAGGTGCTGACCTACTTTAAAAGTGACATTTTTTTCAATATATAGGAAAAGAAAAGGCATTCCTGTTGTCCAGGCACCCACTGGCAGTCACCAAGCTGTTGGGAAAACACCTTTAACAGGCCTAGTTTCCCAGAGAAAGTTGTATTTCTATCAATCTCAAAACTAGGTGACACCCGCTCTTTTAACCAAAGAACCCCATTATCTGCCCTCACATGCAGCCTACGGAGGCTGAAGTCACAGATAAATGCATTTCTTGCTGTCTGCTGCTTATCAACCACAGGTCTCAAAGCTTCTAAGTTAGAGCAAAAAGCTCTAGCACTACCAACTTTCCCATCAGCAGTGGTTTCCAAAGAGGGCTGCCCACCTGCTAATCTTTCAACTCAGGCTGTTTGCAGGACGCTAAAACCAGTTCACCTGGGGGAATATTTGTGCATTTTTTTCCCTTTTGCAAACAAGAATTGCTGTTCACACATGCAATTATTATTCCTAGGAGCTGCTGCAGTTTAAAAGCTAAAATTCTGCATCGCTGCTTTTAGAAAGCAGAACCTCCTCAAAGAGCAGCAGGAGTAAAAGGAGTCCATGCAGTGAGCTCCCACTAGCCCTCAGCCTTCCTAAAGATGCTGCATCCAGTGGACATCAGCTCCTTGGTAACATCAGTTCAGCTCTATTTGCAGCCCACGCAAACGTCGGAGTGCTTGGACGAGTGGCTTGAACTTCAGCTACGTAGGAAAGAAATGAGTCACTTACTGGTGTGACAGCAGCACAGTGAAAATAGACTGGTTCTGGCATGGCAGCTGGGAGCTTGACCCACTGGAAAGTCTGCAGACTCAGCTTCCAAACGTCTCCCAGAATCACTTCTCCGTTGTAGCCTCCACAAACGAACACATCTGTAAGAGAAGAAACCCACAGTGCTTCCAGACCCAGCCACCCTTCATCCAGCAGCTGCAGGACGTGCAGTGACAGAAGTCAGCAATCACCTTTCTGGAACAGTTTCAGGATCAACAATTATTCTACCTCAACACAAGCTCTCAGTGCCTCTCCAATCAGTCCCAGCACACAGTTCATAACCACAGGGGCCACTTACAGAATCACAGAAGGGTCTGGGTTGGAAGGGACCTCAAGGGCTGTCTAGCCCCGGGCAGGGCCACCTTCCACCAGCCCAGGTTGCCCAAAGCCCCGTCCAACCTGGCCTTGAACCCTTCCAGGGAGGGGGCAGCCACAGCTTCTCTGGGCAGCCTGTGCCAGGGCCTCACCCCCCTCACAGGGAACAATTTCTGCCTCAGATCTCATCTAAATCTCCCCTCTGTCAGTTTAACCCCGTTCCCCCTCGTCCGATCCCTCCCCCTGATGACGAGTCCCTCCCCACTTTCCCGCAGCCCCTTTCAGCCCTGGGGGGCCACTCTAAGGTCTCCCCGGAGCCTTCTCTTCTCCAGCTGAACCCCCCAACTCTCCCAGCCTGTCCTCACAGGGGGGCTCCAGCCCCCCAGCATCTCCGTGGCTTCCTCTGGCCCTGCTGGAGCAGGTCCGTGTCCTTCTGCTGTTGGTGCCCCAGAGCTGGACCCAGCCCTGCAGGGGGGTCTCCCAGAGCGGAGCAGAGGGGGAGAATCCCCCCCTGGCCTTGTGCCCACCCTGCTCTGGGTGCAGCCCAGCACACGGGGCCTTTCTGGGCTGCCAGCGCATGGTGCTGGCTCGTGGCATCATGGACAGGCTGGGAAGTGGACAACCCCACCACAGCAGATTCAGGGCTCAATGCCACTGAGAAGCAGGAGTGCACTCCCACTTTTAGAAGCTGTATTAAGACCTAGCTAACCTGACTTCACAGGCTCCTGGGTTTGATCAGATTCTACTGGTTTTAAACCCACAAGGAGCAGCCCCAGCCCTGGCTCATAGTCCCGACTTTGTCCAGGTTCTCAACTCAGAGGCTTGCACTGCAGCAAAATACTGCTGATGAAGGTGACTGGAAGCAACCCCCAGCTCCTGCCTTACTTTTATTGGCACAATTAGCACTCCTAAGAAATATAATCTGGCATATCATTCTTCTGCATGGCTCAGTACCCTTTAATGTACAGCATTCAGTAATCGATCTGAAGAGTTTTGAAAAGGATCGATAGGGCAACTGCTTTTTCAGTCCATTATGAGCAATTTGGGTTTTATCAGGTTTGGGGGCATTTGTTTTTGGAGGATGAGGCCACAGAAGAGGCCCACATCTTGCTGAGGGAACACTCTACTATTCAAAATTGTAACTGAACACAGATTGCACACACAGAGCCCTCTCTAAGCTGTGCCTCAAACAGCACCATTCAAGTGATTTAAAGCAAGAATATTTGGAGGATCAAAATGAAGAACAAAAGGCTCTGCTAAGCTCTGTGCAACTCCTAACATAAAAACCAGCCCCCACTTTACTAGAGAATGGAAAGACTGAGGGGCTAACTCTGCTACTGCCTCATAATCCACTCCATATGAGCAGCTGGGATTTACACCACCAGGAAAAGGACCTGCTACCAATGAAATCCCTGAACAATCTTGTCTCTAAAGAACTCAGCTTCCAGGCATTTGGCCCCACTTTGCTTTTCACAGCAGAGTGTAAAGCTAACAGGTTAGCCACTGTGATAAGGAGCATCACTCATACCTGTTCATGTCCTTGCAACCAGTAAGTTGCAAAGTGTCATGGACACTCATGGCTAAAATATATGTAAAAATATATTTTACACTGATGTGACCACACATCCAAAGATTCACGTGTTGCCTAAAATACTGCAGAATTCCAGAGAGCAACAGTACTGTGTGGTGCAGAAGTAAATTTGCCTACAGCAGTGAGATCCCTCATATGAAGAGTGGTGCCAACTGGGCAGCTTAAGGCCTGTTGACAAGAAAGAAATCCAATTCCATAAAAAAAACATGTGTGCCCTGCAGTTCTCTCCAACATGTGTGGAGGCCAGCAGCTCTCAGGCTAGAAGGATGGGCTTGTGGCTGCCAGGTTTTATAAGATACAGCAATTTTCAAGAGACAGATCTTACCATTTTTTATCTGAACGCAGCTATGGCATCTTCTGGCTGCTGGGAAGCCTGAGGAGAATTAAAAAAAAAAAAAAAAGCATCAACTATAGTTGTTTTAAAGTGCTTGGGCAAGAGGTGATTTTATCTCAATATATAATCAAGGATAGGAGTCACCTGTTTAATTTATAAGGGGCTTCTGCTTTCCAACAACCACAGGTATAACATCTCTAATTCAGCAAATAGCTAAAAGTTTGACTCCTAATTGCTCTCTGAGGAAGGAAAAAACGTGCCAGAATCTCATTCCCCACAGATTCCAGCTCTCAGCTCTGGCGTGGTGAAAAGCAGCAGCTAAGGGCCTGCAAAGGTTTCAGGGAAAGCCTTGCTGCTAACCAGGCCAGCACGTGGTCGCTCAGAGGCCACAGAGGTGATGTGTATCTTCTGGGAGGACAGCCAGCTGCTATCATCTTTCCCACCCAGGGAGGGAGAAAAGCCACACTGCTAAATATGCTTCAGATGGGTTAGTCCTTCCTGCTAAGCTCTACGCAAGCAGGACCTCGAAGGCAACCTTAAGTCACAGACTCCACAAGGTTATGAAAACAGGTTTTCAGCCTGCCAGCAAACAGCATCTTAGCCACTCTCTGTTTTACAGGGGAAGACACATGAAATTCCAGACTCACCAACTTTTTCATGAGGTTTTGTGGCAATTTCCTCCCAGGTGTTGGTTTCCAGGTTGTACGCATGGATCTGAAGGGACAAAGAGGAACCATTAGTTTCCTCCTGGCTCTTCCAGCACTGCAGTGACGCAGTTACAGCCTCAGACCCAGGGAGCCACTATAAATAACATCTCTTTTTCATTAAGCTGAAAACAAAAACACCTAATGACAGCCATTGACTAAGCAGGTATACAATCACCATCAAAGCAGACCAGCTTACTAAAACTTTCACCTCAGGCTTTGCTATTTGAGCCCCACAGCTGTAGAAAACAGAATACTGCTTTTAAAAAACCTAGACCGATTAAAACCCACACCCTCCAGTTCTCAAAAGGATTTAGAAATACCTAACTCATGCCACACATAAGAAGAAAAGAAATGCACAGAATGGAGAGATAAAAAGTCATGTTAACTGCTGCAGTTTCAGCTTTTTTGGAAGCAGAGCCCTATTTAGAGTCTCCTCATTTATCATTTTGGCACTCAAGTTTAATTCACTCTTCTCTCCCCAAACCGTATGGGAGAAAATCATTCACCACAAGAAAGGAAATTAAAGCATACAATTAAGGGAGAAGACAAGAAAAGAATCATCATATCAATATCTGAATTTAACATCAAGGAATTCCTTCCTTTGGCACTTTCCTGTTCTGGCACAAATACATTTAGAAAGATGTCCTACGTGTTTTTAAATGAGACTCTTTGATAACAGATTGACAGAAGTGAAGCAGTTTTGCAGCTGGGTATGGTCACTGGGTACCACGGATTCATCATCCGTAAATCAACGGGACACGTTTGTGGCAACACCAGGTTTTACAGAAATAGGAGAATAATCTGCTCCTAGTTATTTATTTTTTCACCAAGCTCTCCAGGCACAGCCAGGTGAAGAGGCTGTGCTGGTTATACTTCACTGTAGAAAATCTCCTGTCCAGGCAAGCACTTGAGGTTTCTCATCACCTTACCTTATCTAAGGAATAAGCTGTCCGGGAGGTTCCACCTCCCAAGATATAAATCCGTTGACCATCATGTGCGATTTCATGTCTGTATCTGAAGGTGGAAAAAGGGACATTTAGCAGCACAAACAATTAGTGCAAGTGAGCAACAACAAAAGCCTTCTGGAAAACACTGCCAAATCTGGGTGGTTTAAGTAGACACCCCAAGTCTGGCTATGCTCTATCGGTCTTTCCAGTTGGGAGCATTCAGAAGATGTGGAAGCTTTCATGAGCAATCTAAGCAGCACCCCAGAAGCTTGAAAGGCATTTTCTGAGAGCAGAGCACCACGGAACTTAAGTACAATGATTTATGGAGCACCACGACAGCCACCAATATTTCAGTCCCTTCTCAAAGATGGTCACTGACTGATCTCCCAGCCTTCCACGCCTTGTTCCAGAACAGGACAAGGGACAGGGATCAGCTGAAGTCTCTTCCCCTCCTTAGCACTCACCAGCTGCCCCAAGTCCCCAGGTCTGTTCTGGCATCAGGCAGTCCAGATTCAGTGTCTTGGCAAAGGCTTCACACCCCACCCCAACAGCCCCCTGCAGGCCCGACTGCTGGAGCACCCGTTGTGCAGGGTTCAGAGCCAAAACTACTGCTCTAAGAGTGTCCTGCCTGCGCTCTCTCAGCTTCTCACTCCCAGTAAAGGTGGTGACTCCCCAGTGCAAAAGCTCTCTCAGACTGTCCAGCTTCTCACCTCTCCTCTGGCATGTCACAGGACATATTGTTTGGTTTCAGCTGGATCCACTCTCTCGTGTTGAGGTCTAGCTTATGTAGGTCAGTACTATAAATGTAACCAGTTGTTCCTCCAAACACATAGAGACAACCATTGATGATGGCCATGGCCTGGAAGGTAACAGAGAGAAACCAGTTAAAAAGGATGTGTGACATTGGTGTCTGAAAAAAAGAGAATTCCCAGCCTCCCAAAGCAAAAGACACTGCTTGCAAAGCTCTACCTACAACTAACAAAATGCATCTTCGGGAGAAATGTGAAAGGCAAACAAGGATGAGACACAAAAGATGGGGGGTGGGTGTCTGTAGGAATGGAAAGTAACTCCATGCTCACAAGACAAGGACCTAGAAGTGGAGCTGCTGAGGTTCAGATACCAGACAAGACAGATCTGTGCAGCAGGGGCTCCCAGGAGCTACAACCACAGCACACTTAACCCTGAATCTCTTCCACACTGACCTTACACAGATACTGTTACGGAGAATCTTATAAATCAGCTATCAGAGAGCCAGCAGGATTAAGTGTAGCAGAGAAATCCCCAAACACAGTGGATAAGCGAGACTAAACAAGGGAGGCAGCCTGTACAATTCAGAAGCCCTTGGCCTATCAGGCCACTGAAACGGCGAAGGCAGTGCAGGCACATGGTCTGAGGTGGAAGCAGAGATGTAGCTCCTTCTGCTCCCAACTGCCTGTTTGCCAAAGGCCAGCTCGAGCTGAGCTGGGCAAGGGGAAGACTACTTGCTTTCCCCCAGCTGTCTGGAGCGCATCTAAATGAGAAATTAGTTGGGTCATAAATGTCTGCACCACAAGCGTACTGGTAGTATTACTGGAAAGCACAGCAGAAGCTGGTAGTCCGCCCATGAATCTAGTTTTTTTGTGCACCATGTTCACCCAGGACATCATGGACAGCTTTAAAAGTTGTTATTCTAATATAAACAAGACGTACTAAACACTGGTTTCATTTGTAGTCTGGGGTTTTAAAGGCTTTGAGGAGGCTAGAGAGCAACTCCAGAAATGACCAACCACTCCTTAAAGCAGACATACTTTTTTCATTCAACTGCATCTGGCATTTAGATAACAAATTCTGGCTTTTCGAACCACAAGAAAACTATTCCCTCCCCTCGAAACCTCAGAGACGTGAGGCTGCTCTATTAATTTATGAATGACACCTGCCTTTCCTTACACTGATGTACACAGACAACAACTCTGGTTAGTAGCAGAGAACAGATCTTTGTGCTCTGGCCCCTTTTCGGGGGTGCACAGCTCAGCACACGCAGGCACAACACCCCAAGTGCCTCAGTGAGGGCTGTCCTTCATACCTGCCCATAGATGCGATTGGGTTTCTTCCCTCGACAGCTGAGCAGAGCCCATCTTTTGTACTTGACGTTGCAGACGTGGACATCGTTGCCGTTGCTCTCCCCAAAGGGGATCCCGGTGCCCCCGAACACAAGCAGGTTGTTGCCATGCAATACAACTAGGAGAGAGAGACAGAGCAGAGACACTTGTTGCTGTGAGAAGCAGTAAACCAGAATGACTCTCTGCTCTGGACACAGTAGGCAGAGAGTGTTCAATATTGTTCAAATACCCTACAATTCACACTATGCGTTTATGGCTTTGAAATACTCTAAAAGAGAAAGAATGCAAGCTAAAACCATGGTAACCAAAGGCCTACTTTTAAAAATGGCTAGCGAACAAAGAGATCTATTTTTGGATGCTTTGAGTTGTCTGATTGCACTGAGCACCCAGCTGCTGAAAGTGCAGGTGCCTTGCAAGTTATCAAGCTAAATACCTCAAGACTACCTCTTGCATTGGAAATTTTTTCTTTCCCTCTGCCTCAACCCAAGCGAAAGGGGAAAGAAAAAAAATCACAAAGCCAACCCAAACTCAAGGCCTGTTTGCAGAAGAGTTGGAAGCAGGGTCCAGATTTCCCAGTTCTTGCCTGGTTTTGCATTCCTCCAGGGACACTGATTAAAATAGCTTCAGGAGGAGGCGCACAGGAATTGAATTTCCATACATACGTGACATGGAGGCTAGTTCCCTGGGCATGTAGCCTTCAGTGCCCATTTGATGCCAGGTGTCTGTAGCAAAGTTGTACCGCCAGAGTTCCCTGAAGAGCGGGTAGTCTTCATTCTCTGGCCCACCAGACTCATCATAGTCAGGATTGTAGCCTCCAAACACATACAAGTTGGCATTATCGGCCACGCAACGATGGCCGCTTCTTGCAGGTGGAGATCTATGGCCTAGAGCAAAATGAGAAGGTAAAACAGCTTCAGTGAAATGTCAGCAGAGGAGCTGAGCTTGAGGCCCAGGGTCAGGACTAGACCTGCTGCAGTGGTCCTCCAACAAGTGTGGCTGGTGTTTCGCCACAGGGAAGCACATCAGCAGCCAGGAGGAAAGGGCTCTGTAACGACAGATCCACCTCTCCGAGCATGAATGGGGAGAGCTTCTCCATGTCACCATCTCAGTCACGTCCACTCTAGCCCCTGGACCACACCTGCCTAAAGATACCTGTCTGCACAACAACCCTTCCACATGACAATCCTTTTGTAAAAGCTATTTCCAAGAAATGTTACAAATTCCTCCTTCTGTCATTCCGTATGGCAGCTTTCACTTAAGAAACAGTTCCAGAATGTTTATATTTAAAGCTGCCTGATGAGAACAAAGGAAAAAGTAATGATTTGCTCTCCCTCCCACACAAACCTTCTCTCTGTTTCTTCTCTTTTGCTCCTGGCACCTCGTATCTTGAGAAGGTTCTTTCGCCTTGGACACCCCTGGGCTTCCTAAACATTAAGCAGGTCTGTAAATCAAGTAAAAGTCTCCTCATAGATAAAGGCATCTGCACTGGGAGGGAGCGTTGCAGGGAACCAACCCTTCTGAGATCCCACAGGTTGAGCTTGACAACTGGCAGACGCAGCCCTTCCAAAACGAAGCCTTCTGCCTCCCCACCCTCTTCCCCAAAAGCCAATGGAAATAAAAGTGGGGAGGACAATTGAGGCTCAGACCTCAACTGGAATAGGAAAAAAGACCGATTCAGCCCAGGAAAATTTAAACAGCAATATTCTTGTTGGATAACAGCAATTGAAGGCTCAGCTGACAAGTGATCAAAAAGTAATTCTGAGCTTGCTCGAATTTGATGCACAGCAAGAGCCAAGCACAGTGCCAGGGTGGATGTTTTTCTTCAACGAGACACAGGACCACATAACGGATGAGAAAGATGAAAGGAATAGAAAACGATCAGGTCCCTGAACAAAGGAGCTGGTTGTGAGACACATGTAGAACATCTCAAGCTGGCTAAAATGCTTCAAAAGTCATTTTTTCTATGCAATACAACGGTGTTTTGGAGAGAGTAACTCTAAGCTTCACTTTGACAAGAAGGACACATCACAGTCCCCTAAAATGTACAATTTCAACACGTAACCATCACACCCTCAAGTACATTCTCTGCTTGTTGCACCTCAAGAGAGGCCCGCTTTGGTTCAGGTCACAACAAAGAGCAAACCAAAAAACCATCAAAAGAAGATCCCTGAAGATTCCTCACCCAAACAAACCAGTGATCTTCACCACCCACCTGCTCTCACAGCTCTTTTATGGACTTTTAGGATGGAACAGGACCCAGTGAATCATCTAATTAGGACCCATCGTGTTTTCTTCTTAGAGCCTGTTACAATTATCAGCAGTGAATCAGACACGCAGAGCAATAATAAATGAGGCATCAAGCATTTTTCCTATAGGAAAGGTGAAATAAATGATTTGTCCAGACTGAATAATGAATTTTAACTCGACACAAGCAGCTCTGCCTAATCATGTTCCCCATTTGCTGCTGCTTTAAGCTCCAATTCTTGTCCAAAATTAAGCTGCTCTCCAGGGTTCAGACAAACTCCTTGTGGCTAAGTTTTGACAGATTTGGGTTGTTTCCAGTAATAATTGTGTCTTGCAGCAATTCCCACTTAGAAAACTAATAAGCACTGGCTGAAAGAAAGGGGAAGAAAGTTGAGGAATTAATGGAAAAATCTGTAGTCCTTGGCCTGGCTTCTGAGCCAGCGCAGTGCTGTCGGGCACCCAGCGTGGCACAGACATCAGCACACCGGCGGGGTGGGTATTACATGTACTAACAGCAGCAGGCAGGAGGCTACTGGCCTCAGTGCTAGACTAAACTGTTAAACAAATATTACGTGCTTTAGAGGTGATTCACAAAGGGAAAGAGAAACATCTGCCCCTTTGGGCTTTTTTATTTTACACTCCGAAACTATCCAAAGAGATGGATTCATTTTTAAGTGAACACACCGGCGACAAAGGTACTCACAATCAAGGTAATTGACTCTTGTCATCGGAGATGCTTCGAGAGGGCAATTCATGTGATCTTGAAGGTCTGCAAACAAAATGGTGCTTGAGAAGTGCTCGCACCTCTCTGCAGGCTAGGGGATATCCTAGCACAAGGCTCACGTGTCCATGCTCGGCCAAAGGGAGCTCATCCTGCTTATTTCTTCTTCTGTGTTTGCCCTGAAGGTCTCCAAAAAGAAGATCTAAAAGAACTAAAGTGGGAGCTTAATTCCAGCGAAGATTGGGAGCAATGATGCACACATTCTGCAGGGGACTGAGGATTTAATTCAATCACCCACTGAATTTAAAAGGTGTTAGGGAATTAGGAGTTCAAATATTACATTAACTATAGATCCTATTTCCCTCTAGTTATAACACTTGCCATGAGAATTTTCCAGAGGGAAGAGGAGAATAAGGCTGAGTTTCATATAAAGCCAACAGACTAATGAGTAAGAGGCATAATTCAAAGAAAATAAATTAAAAAACAAAACCCAGGAGGCCTTCTCTGCCATTCACCTCTCAAAATTAAGCAGGGAAGGCACCTGACTTTGCCATAAAAAACCCCAGAACAGTTAAGTTTCAACAGAAAGGGATCAATGTTCGAGGCATGCATGTTGTCGAGGTAGCAAGATGTGCACATTAAGCCCACAGACAGCCCAGCCGGTTTTAGCTCTTCCCGTTTACCTAGAAACCCATCTCCTATCTTTAAAAGACAAGCGTTTTCAAGATATTTTCAAGGGACAGAAAGGGCATCACAAGCCAGAGCTGGTGTCAGATACTTGCAAGTACCCAGCTGGTCCTTTCAGACCACCCTTCCCATGCAAACCACATCTGCTGCTAGTTCCTTGCCCATTCCCACCACTCGCACCAACTCCAAGGGCTCTGCGTGTTAGAGGAACAAATTTTTCAATTAAACACTCGCTCAGTAACCGTCCTTTGTCAGAAGCTAGAGATCCAACAGGAGAACTAGCAGGAGACATGATGTCTGTCCCGGATCATGCATTCACAACTCAGCTGCTCAGGAGAAATCCACTGTTCTCAGCATTAAGTCAAACACCAAACCAACAATGAGAGCGGCCAAAATGTGGCAGTGACTCCCAGGGAAAGGAGGGCTGGAAATGCCAACCAGAGCAACGTTTCCAAAAGCTCAGGGCCAACCCCCGTAACTACAAATACAAGCAATTTCCTTTTGCTCCACTCAAAAATAACAGATTTTCTGTACTATTCAAGCAGACCCCAGCTGCGTTTGCCCAACACCGTGCTCCACGTGTAAGGGTGTAAGGACTGACTTCTCTCCAAAGGCTTTGCATTTCCAGCCTGCTGGTTTTAAGCTTCACTCTTCACTAACTCCTTCGTCTCAATGGATTAGATCCTCCCGCTCACGGAGGCCCAGAGAAGATGACAGATCTACCCATGAAACAGGAAAAAAAAATATCCAACACATCTTCTGAGTCACCTATGCAAGCACGCTCACAAACGTATTAATGAACTGAACAATGTTAATCTGAGTTAAACTGTCACCAAACTTCTATTCAAAATTAAGTGACCTTAATTCACTTCAGAAGAAAGTCTTAGAAAAAGATTCCTCTAGTTATGTCTTTTTAAAGAGACCTGTAAAAGCTGAATCTATTTAAGAGTAAATTCAGATTAATTTCTTCAGCAGACAAGCTCTATGACTTGCACCTCCAACGAAGAGCTGCATTTCCATTTAATTATGTTTTAGCAGATGATTCACATCTCCTACTGAAATTCTTCACGCAAGTTCTGGATCTGGTTTTGCTCCAGTGTTTAGCGGTGCACAACGAGCCTATTGCACAAGCGCAAACTTTAAACAGTGCAGAAAGATGGAAATACCCAAGGGTTTGCTAACTTCCTCCTCTAGTTAGCAAAGCCCATCTCCCCAAGAGCTGAACCTGCCACACATGAAAGAAGGGCCCAAGATTAAGCAAAGCACAGCAAGGCACCGTCCCCGTGGAGAGCTGCAAGTCACCAGGTCCTGCTATGAATCCTTAGAAGCTGGACATGGAAAGTAGCAGCACGATGTACCGAGTCAAGACAGAGCTGTGGGAAAGAGGTCGTAGAGCTAGGTATAGAAAATGGATTAAAAAAGGATGGATATAATTTGGGAAGGACTTGCTTTCCCAGTTTAAGACTCCAAAGCAACGCAGGAAGGAAGGAAGGGAAGATGCATTCACAAGGAGACTCCTTTTCCTTGGTCCTGAGGGCAGAAATGGGAACAATAAAACCTTCAGAGAATAAGAAGCTCCACAAACAGAACGAAGTTGAAACATCGTGACAAGGACATAATTAAGGCAAGCCCTAATTTAGGACTAAGCTATGTGACAGAAACTTGCTTGCTGGCTATGCACTGACCTGTTAACACCCTGTTAAATTCACCCTTTTCAAATGATTCATTGAGTGACTTCAGAGACAGCTTCTCAGATGGCCCAGACTGACTTTGTTAAAGCAGATTCCTAACTGAGCACACCTCCTGCAAGAGGTATTATTAGAACAGGAGAGTAAGCAAAAAGGTGGCACAAATACCTGTTCCCAAGTTTCCTGATGTGACACAGCACAGCAACCAATGCACGAGACATTCATTTCCTACCTCGCCAAAAACTCTGAATACAGAACAGGTCTGGGGCGAGAAGGAGGAGAAAACAGAGATGTTCATTAAGAAAATTTAAAGAAACTATTTTGGAGGAGAAAGAGTAATGGTCCTGAATGGTATCCAACAAGAGTCCCATTCAAAATGTGCCTCTTACGGGGAGGACGAAGCTGAATTACACCTGCTGGTCCATAAATACTCTTCCTGTTCCAACTAACGCAAGATTAAAAGTTTATTAAATTCCAATTCTGGGGCCCTGACAGCTACAGAAATCTATGGAAAGCCTGGAGACAAAAACAATACAAGAATCCCTTGGCATCAGCAGATTACTTGAATTTATAGAGCAGATTAAATGCTACCAGCATGCCCAGGACCACAGCATGTGTCAATGGCTACGCTTGAGTCTACTGGACTTCTCTACCGCTTTTCAATAGCTCTGTAATAAAGTTATAGAAGAAAATTAAACTGTGAAGTACCAAGCAGTTGCACTGAATCACATGCAGCACAAACGTAAGGCGAGAGGCGCTTCAAAGAGAGCAGCACAAAGACAAGTTTCGAAGAACAAAGGCGTTTTCTTTCCATTTGACTATCCTGCCTTTCAAGACTGCAGGAAAAAAAAACAAACCTGCTGGCATCATCTAGCTGGCTTGGTTAAACAAGAGGG